CTTTAGCCTTACCTTTGGCCTGTGGCACTGACGCGCGTCTGCTCTCATCAAATTAGCATCCAACCTGTCAAGCGCAACACCATCATATCGTCTTGCCTCCCGTTAGTGGTAAAATGCATCGCCGTTTCCCACTTTACCACCAGCTTTTCATATTTTCATAGTATTTTTACATTTATTTGCGCTCTTTTAGAGAGGCTTTTAGGCGCAGCTTTTCGTCTGCACCTTCTTTTGTCTCGTAAAATGCGTATGTACCTTTAACTAATAACGGTAGAAAAGCAGGAAAAAAAGCTGGTCTGCGAAGAATATGCTGCACTTTAAAAATTATGGGAAGTAATGAAATTTTCACTTCGAATCGCCCCTTAAAATATGCAAATCAAGTAGAAATTGTGGCGCATTGCAACTGATAACAATTGAGCACAGCAATAACGGCAGTATAGTTGAGTGTTGTAAAGTCTTAATGGAATATTCAACCATAACAACTGGTGGCAAATATGTGGCATATAAAACTACTTAGATTTATACAATACACATAACTAATTAGAGCGCATATAGAGCAATTTCACTGGCTTTCATAAATCTCTCTAGGATTGCTCGCTGCTCAAGCGATGTTCTTATATTGTTAGAAAAATTATTTAATAATATTACAATCGAGATACCTTGTAACAGATATCGCAGCTGGACTATGTTGTCCACTCTCTACCTGTCTTTTTCTACCAGAAGTTATAAGAGAAATGTTGGTGTTTCGAATTCTTAAAACCGTTTGGTGCTGTCTTTGGTAAAGAGCGTAACTCTACATCCCCTTTAGTTTATTTTCATTCTGATTCTACCAGAGTTAGATGTTAGATAATAAATCATCCGTTACCATTTATAATTGTTCACGCCTTGCCGAATGGAGTCATATTCAGGTATGACATACTAATAGCTTCTGCTCGTTTTTTTATTTTAAATAGCCGTTTCAAAAGCATCACAGCTCCTTCGTGGTGTCAGAAAAAAAGATTAAGTCTTAATTAATCTAATGTATTTATTTAAGTTCTCTCTCTAGTGCGATGAAATCAACCAATGTTTGAAAATGTGTGTGACTCTAAGATAAACAAACTACTTGAACTACATGCGTACCTAGTTTCTGTCATGGCCACGATTGGGGAGATCTTCGGAGATTTCTCCAAAATTTACATTACTTAACACGCTAATATAATTTGGTATATAGAAACCAGGGTCTCTACTTATCACATATGTTAATCTTAGAAAGGCAAAGAACACTTTTAGTTTAAAAATTATCTTCGATAAATTTATATATGTCTAAGAACCTAAACATTAGCCTAAACTTCAGCAAAAAAGCAAAAGTAAAATGATATGATGATCGAATATATTTTTTTGGATATACTTAGTTAAAGGCTCAGAGTCTTACTTGGAATTCATTTTATTTTCTTCTGTGATAGATATCGGGACTCGGTGATACACTCGACTGAATGGGCAGGCAACGAACAACATTGCTAACAACAAAAATCGAAGAACTATATACAGTAGCAGTTTCTAGAGCGAGCACAATTTTCTGGTTGTTAGTATATCACTAAATAACTCAATCAATTTTCGGGAACTCTTTAGTGTGGGTGAACACTGGTGTATTAAGCAATTGTTCTATAAATATGTTAACATATTTAAATTTATTGCACATTCAATCAGAATTTCCATATTGTGTGAATAGTTTATTTAAATACATTACATACATACAATGCATGAATATTTAATATGAAAACACACACACATTCAAAAAGGCAAATACACACCTACGCACATACAATGTTTATATAAGAGAAATCGGAAATTAAAAATAAACAAAATTTAAATTCCGGCTTTCAGGCAACATACAAAAACCAAGTAACAACAACAACAAGAACAGTATTACAGTTATTATCTTTACATTCAATTTAATCTTACTGAAAATGAAATAAATTAAAGGCTGGTTGGTCATAAAGTTGCCACGCTGCCGTTAAGAAATATAATAAATTCGGGAATCCTTTGCGTTGCCGATGAGATGGCATGAAGAATGGCGCACGCACACACTCACACACCGCCACAAAAGCACAGCGATTTTAAACATTTCATTTCAGGCGAAAACGATGGTCACCAGTTTCGCTTTCATTGCAACGTTCTTTTTTCGCTTCTTAGAATATAAATTCATGTGCACAACTTCATTACGCTGCCCCCACCACACGCTGCAGGCACGCGCTCCGCATCAAACCGGCCCGAAATTAACTTTCGACTTGTTCATATCGCCATGAAATGAGCGCTCAGGTATAATTTACGGCGTATTCAAGTAGAAGCAAAAGCCCCACCAAAGGTAACATCTTAACGCATTTGCTAACGGAGTCAAATGGAGACCCGCCCTTCCTCCGTTGATATTGCCGCCGCTAATGGCTGTGAGATTTTCTACTCACAAAGTCATAAAATGTGGCAGAAAGCGAAATTTAAAGCGGAAGCTGGCATAACGGAAATGATGTCGTAAGGCATGTTCGCCACCCCCGGGCGATGAGAGAGTTCATATATCAGCCGCAGCAGGCGGAGTACTCGTACTCCGATGCTATTTCAAGCAGTTCTTGTATGTGTGTTGGTATTTAGAAACATTTCTGCGTACATAAGAGTGGTATGACACACATTTATTATGTAGTATATATTTCAATGTATTTGCTCTTCTCTGCAGAGACATGAACACACCAATATACATTTTGCAATCAACTCATAAATTTGCATAGCCAAACAGCGCCAATCATAAAAAGTGGTCGGAGAGTTGTATGCATGTGTCTCGTTTGCCTGTATTGGCTGTAGTAAATTCGTTACTAACTTCAACTTATAATTAATTCAAATGTAGTAAAAGTCAATATTTTACAATCTATTAAATGCATTCTGCAATAATTGATTCAAACTTTCCGAATCGCTTGTATTTCTTCTTATTATGCGAGACTGTAATACTTAATATTGTTTACACTCGAACAACTTTCCGAGAGTGAGTCAACACTGCTTGACAGACGAAGTGCTAATGGAAAAGAAGAGAACGCCAATGAAAAATTAACTATAAAGGCAGATCTTTTCAGCAGAAGAGCGAATACTGGCTGACTCCAATCTGAAATATGGACATTTTAATTTCTCAAAAAACGGGAAAAGCTTTTTTTCGTAATATTTTTAAAAATTTAAGAAAAAGTAATTGAAGAATTCCCAACGTTTCTAGAAGACCTGGTCCTCAGAGCATATAGAACCTTAACTTATGGAATGAGCTGAAGTTTTAAACTATTATGTAAAGGATGAAGTGTTTTATTCACCACGTAAAATGACTCACAAAGTAGAAGGCGTTTACACGTACATAGGGATGCAATGATCAATCTGCATTTAAAAGTGTGAAAATGTTTGAGAACAATTTTTCGAAAGTATGTTATGAAACGAAGAATTTAAATTTTTCACTCATTTCAGAGAAAAGCAGAATACATTTTTTTTTTTTGATAAATTCCAACTTTTATTGGCATTGTTTGTATCAAAAATCTGTTGTTCTAGGAAAGTTAAAAAGTTAAACATCTATTTGTATATCTTGAAAAAATTATAAAACGAGTAGCATATTTTTAATTTAATGAATTTTAAATAAATAGGGTTCTTTATATATATCATTTGTAAGTACCAGTATATGTATATATTCTTGAGGATGAAACAAAAAAAAGTAATCCTAAAATTTATTTATATGTTGATCACTTTTGCCTGAATTCATTTCGAATGCAACCTTTCCCAGCTACTTTCTCTCACGTTACTGTTATTAAGTCGACATTTAAAGCCATGTCACCCTTCTAGTCTTTCTTCATATACTCAGGCAATTAATACAAAATCATTCTCTCTCTTTAAACAACAAACGGAATAATAAATTAAAATATTTTGCTAGCATTAATTAAACCAAAATTTTAATATTAGTTTCATTGCTCATTTTGCATTAAAAAAAAAACTACAATTGCTCAGTTATATTACGCAGAGCAAGAAAATATTACAAGAATTCTGATGATTTCTAAATAAAGCTCGAAATATTTTTTTGCAAAAAAAAATTAAAACGTGAACTAATTAGCAGTAGTGATTGAGAATCACTCTATTCTCTCATAAACAAATTGTTGTTTGTTAAATATTATTGCAAATGTGAAAAATGCTAGGGGCTCTACTGTACCACGTCCATAAATTTCCAGAACTCCGCAAACTATATCACTCAAATTGGAAATAGTGCATCTCGCCAACTATTACTGTTATGTGAGCATAACTCATATCTCTACTGCTACTACTAATACTGCTTAAAATACGAAAATTCTCTCACAAAAGAGGTCAGAAAAGTAGGATAACGATATCATTTAAGCTATAAGAAAGAAATAGTGAAAATATAAAAAGTAAAAGTTAGGATATTGCTGAAGTCTTTATTGCGAGTAAGGTAATATTTAGGTTACCCTTAATCGTAATTGTAAGTATCATTTGTACAGCTTTAGAACTAACAAAGTTTTACCACAACCACAACTTCTGCCATCATATAGCACAACACAAACTTCATGGAGGTACGGTTTCCAAACTCCGATCATATTAACTTCTCTCAGACAAAAAGGTCTAACTTTATATCGGCCAGCAGGAGATCATTCTCAACAAACATTCTCAACAAAATATCCAGTTTGTTTGTTTTATTGCTGTTGTTTGAACCTTGAAATTTGAGGGACCTGGACACACTTTCAGCGAGAATTTTGGAAATTTGCACGAAATTTTCAGAGGAGCACTCAAACACCCCTACAGAACATATATAATAGATTCGCCGTCTTACATCATGCATGGTGTGTTATAACATGATACTCGTCCGAGCATAAGTTAAATAAGGGCTTATTGCTAGATATTACATAATAGACAAATTCTCATTGTCATTGTACTTTGTTCAAAACTTTTTAAATACGATTTTGTAAGTAAAGATATTTTTTAAGCAATTTTGAGATACTCACTTATTTTAGAAAAGTTAGAATTTAAATTTCTGAGTGACACACTAAAATATGGATTTCTTGTTTATAAATTCATTTTATTTTTATTGTTGTCACACTGATAAATTTTGTTTTGACACCCCAAATTTATACTATATATTTAAACTACACTTTTAACCAAACTTTTAATTATTATATTTTTAATAATTTTTTAAAATGAAATTTCGCTATAATTTTTTCGGTAATTTCTATTATTAACGCACAGAAGTATTGGTAAGCAAGCACACACTTCCAAGTTTGAAGCACTGCCCTGACAGAATTTTACCCGGTTTTAAGTATTTAATTTAAATATATTTTATTTAACCATTTATTAAATTTTAATCCAAAATTTTGTAAGAAACGCCCGAGAGAACGCCCAGCTCACTACAATTTAAATGTTAACTGTCTGACCCACACCAATGCACTGTTTGCTTATCATTTTGTTTGTTTGCTGAATGCCATTTTTGCGACTTTGGAACACAACTGCATCGCGACGCGCCTTTCAACGAACTAAATTCAAACGATTGACCGTCTTGACACCAGCAAAATACCACGCTTAACCACCACACATGCGTCTGCCATTGGCGGCATCCCGCTCGTCGCCCTCAACGCTCGACAATTCTACGTACGTGCGTATGGTGAGTTTTAGCATACCGGCTGCATACTCCATATACAAGGCAGTTCCACGAGCCCACTATACAAAAGTGAAAGTTAAGAAACGACGACGGCGATCGCCTCACGTGCGATGCATTCAACCTGGTGGGCACGTGTTAACTGGAGGATTGTGCACTTCTGCGACCGCAGTGGTCCAAGTACCAATTGGTGTGGTAAATGTCCAATATAAATACCTTTCCAACATCGCACGGCTAAGAACCGCTGGTGGGCATGTGCGTGTTTGTGATGCGATGTATTGATAAGAAGTAAGTTCTTGGGGAATCACAGCGTAGGCAGCAGGATTAATTTGGGCTGCGCACTTGTCGGATGAAGGACGTATTACTTTATAATGCTCAGAATTAAATATCTGACAAACCGATAAAATAACTAGCAGAATTTTTTCAAATCGTAATATTATTCTGCTAAACTAAAACCGATTTCATTAAGTTTTTTGAGAAAAGAATAATTGTTTCATTTAGCGTATGCTTATTACCTGCAAAACCCCAAAGCAGTTAACCAGCGGAACTAAAACCAAAAGACTTTGTTTGCCTTCAGCACTATTAAAAGAAACTCATAGGATTCGATACTGTTTAATATTTCGTTTATTTTAACCTTACCTTCAACTTCGATAATTATTTAATGTCATAATATCACCCAAAAATTTGCTCGATAGGTGGCGCCGAGACCAATATCACCACTCTGCACAGAAACTATTATTTCTAGACTCAAATATTTCTATAAAATCGTGCATTGGAAAGTAAAGGTTAGGTTAGGTCGTAGAGTTTATCCTCGCTGCAAAGGGAACGCAGGATCCCACTTGGTCAGCGCTAGTCCTTTCTGATTTATAAAACTCCTACATCAACAGGCTCCTATAGATCGCGAAGCGTTTTTAACTTACCACAAATTTGTTAAGGCCGCTTCCGAGATGTTTCTATCTCAATCTAGCAAAAGTTGGAGACTTGAGACGAAAGTGTTTTGGTGATTCCACCTCGTCTTTTTTCATACAGCTTTGGTATTTTGCGGTCGACAAGATATGCAACCTCACCGCATGTGAGCCTATTGGATAGTCGCGTCAAATCATATATAATGATGGTGAGATGAACCTTGCTAGGAGCAAATAGAAAATACCATTGCAATACCACTACATGAGGGATCCCCCCTTGCCAAACTGTAACTACCAAAGATCCAACGTTAGAGGGGGCAAGAGTACAGCGATATACCGACTCGTAGCCAATATAATAAAATTAGGGTAAGTGTATTCTCCCAAGCAAGCTCATTGGCTTTGCAGTTTCCAGCTATTCCTCTAAACCCAGCACCCGTAACCGAAATTAGTATTAATGGAAAAAGCTTTCCACAACATTAAAATAAAGTAACGACGTCGTGCGTGGATAACACGAAAGGACTGAGGATAGAAACGTATGGTATATGTACAATATCCTTACAAATAAAAGTCCGCGGGTAAATGACATATCCGAAAACAAATTTATTTTACTAAAATGAAATGATAAAACTGTGAGGGTACACTCCTGGTAATAGTTAATATGTAGGACTTACATTCCGGCTAAGAAATTTGTTATCAGAAGGCAAGTCAAGTGAAATTCCCCAATGATGGCAGAAATAACTTTTGATAAAATATTTTAGAGCTATAAACAGTGCAGTTGGTAAATACTTCTAAAAATATTCTACGAAGTAGAAAATATACAAAATGAAAAGCGGTTCGATGAAGTTTGATTCGAAAACGCCAGTAAAATTTTTAATTTTCCTTAGGCAAAGACTTTTATAGTAATTTACGTATTTATACTTAACCCGAATTTGTGCGCTGATATTCCACCTGCAGCCGCTTGCCGCGTAATTGGCAAAATGATGCGAAAATCACATGCGAAATCCTATTGACCCAGTACCACAGATCCAACACGCCGCATGCATGGAAACATCGAATTCCAGCGCACGCGCCACTAATCCCACCACACCTGCTCTCTCAAGCGCGCTCACTACACACACCTGCCGCTCAACATTTCTATTCACCACACCATATAACAAATGCAACAAACAGCGACAAAACAAAAGAAGATGCTTACTGATAAGCGAGTGATAACGGCGCAACACAACAAACACGTGCTTCACACGACCAAGGAGCCATGGACAAGTGCAACAACAAGAACAATAAACGCTACTAGGTGAGATGTTAAATGAGAAAAGCAAGAGCAAGAACAAATGAAACAAAATGCATAGCAACGCAGAAGCTAATTGTGTTATTATAATAATTAAACGAAATGTGACTGTGTGTATGTCGACTGAGTGTGTGTGTGTGTGTGTGTGTATGCTCAAGTGTGTTTATAAGTGTGTAATTACAGTGATGAAGTGTCTACGGCGTTGCACTTAAAATAACGCTGCAATTGCTAATTACCCGATAAATGTGCACCAACAACAACGACAATATGTGGTTAGTATCCAGCAAAATGGGGACATTGCCGGTCCCAGATAATTAACGCAGACACAAGCATGAATTCGCATCGCATTTTCAGATGGCAGGGTGGCCCGGTGGTCCGTTGGTGGGTAGTCGGGTAGTCAGTTGGTGCGCCCCGCGCATTTACTAATTGAATTCAATTTGACGATTTGGAAATTTCAATAATGAATATGCCACCGCAATGAGCGTGCAATTATCAGTAGCTTTGGCAAATCACATTTCGCGAGCAATGAGCCAGACAAATTTTATGATGTAACGTCACGGTGCACAAAGCGGTTAATTATCGTTATTCCCATTCAAAAATACGGCAGTGTAATTATATTTATTGCAATTGCAGTTGTTATTGTTATTGCTATCGCACAACCGCACACACACATACATATGGTAAATGCTCAGCGACTCACCAGTGGACGCGCGAACGCTTAATACATATTTTCGGCACTTTGCACGGGAAGCGGTGGCGGTCACCCTCTGGCATAAATTAGCCGACCAAATTGACGATCTGCTGGCTGAGCTCGAATTACAAATATTCAATTATTCCGTGTGTATTCGTCCACATGTGTATGTTAGGATTAGAGGCACTAATTTTCCACACCGTACTATAATAAGGTAAACGGTCTACAACAAACGGGCCAAGGTGTCTCTAATTTAAAAACAAACAAATTTATAAATGTATATCCCGTTATGCGCACGTCCTCGGCAGCCAACAGCACCAATCTCATTTTGGAATACTGTATTTCATAGCAAACAGATGAAAGAATTAATGAGATAATTTGTCGAAAGATTTCGCCGATTAGTTACACTAGCAGTTCTTCAAAAAAATAAAATTTTATTGTCTCTGCCACGTTTCATTCACGAGATGCAACAATTCGAAATCCTCTTCAATTAAATACGTGCTACTTCTTTTTGGAAGGTATTGTCAAACTTAAGGTGGTCGTCTACTTTCGCGGTTTGAAAAATTGATTTTTATTTGCATTTTTCTTATGTTCTTGGTTATGAGTTCTTCTCTAATTCGTGTTTTCAAAGTGGCGGCGTGACGGTGTAGAGCATCTCAAAAGATAATTGATGTATGAATTTGATAAAATGTAAGTAAGTTTGAATATTTTTTAACATTAAAGAACAAAGCGATTAATTTCTTCCGCAGAGATATGATGTTGCCTTTCTTAGCTGACTACCAATATAATAGAACAGTTATTGAGAAATACATATGGTTTGTTGAATCACTCTGCCAAGGTTGAACTGAATTAAAATCTGTCATAACAAGTATGTGTACAGTACTCTGGCTTCGCGTTCTATGTTCTATACCGGTGAATAGCCGTAAACACTTAACCCAATTACTTTTATTTTTTTTTGCTTCAGCATGGCGTCCCTCAGTGCTGCAAGCTCTCAACAATATTAAAAATTTTTACATCGACAACAATAATTTGGAACCATAATGAACGCTGAATTTTTTTCGAACTTTCCGAAATGCAGTTAGTACAATTCAATTTGCAGAAAACAAAATCGATAACAGCAACACTCAGTCATCCACAAATCGACTATGATCGTGTAAAATTTTAAATGTATTTTTTAGACACTAACAAAAGGCGGAAAACAACACGAAAACAAATACCATTGTTCGCAGTCGAAGTTTTTGAAGCATACCACATAAGGGTGTTAAAAATGTATGAATTCCTATACACGCACATACACATATTTTATCGCAGTTATTAAGCACAACGGATTTCAGCGCTGCTAAAAAATACTAAATGCCGCTTCACTAAGCGGACGCTTCGAAAATCTAGTTTTAAGTGAAATTTTATTAAATACTAACTTGCTTACCATAAAAACCAATACTTTTTACAACCATTGCGTTTTGAAATCTGTTAATGGTTCTTCTAAATGCAACGCTGTTAAAGTTTACTCTCTCTATGAAATAAACCTCCATGAATTAATAGCTTTTTTGGGAGGAATATTAGCTATAATAATATAATTTGTCCAACTCCAGCTTACCAAATCTCTAGTAACCGTTCAGTAAACTGAGTAGCATAACTAGTAGACATATAGCACAAATTGGTGGGAAAGCTTGGCTAAAACCCTGTTAAGAGTGAAATGACAAATATTATAACTGTTGTTGTATTTTAAAGCTAACAATATCATATTGCCTTACCCGAACTGCGTGCGATAGGCTAATCAGCACTTCGCCAATTTTTGCCCAATATACAAGTATGTATAAGAGCACTCCCAACGCACACACATACATACATATATACATGCGAGTGTTTGCCACTGCAATAAAAATTATTTCAGCTGACTGTTGAAAGCAAAAATTTTATTTTTTACCTGCGCTTTGATTACATCAACTCCTGTCTCCAACTGCCTCCACGGGCTAGCGAAATATTGGAAATTGTTCAAATAGAAATCGCGACCAAATGCAAAATTGGAAATAGGAAACTCCTTCAAAAGCATTGGTTGGTACAGAATTTTCAGCCGGCGCACTTTTCGCATGCAAATGATTTTTAAATGAGTTTGGGCTTTCAGTACTGCCACTGAGATTTTGCTATTGGAATTTTGGATTTCCATGTGGAAAGCTTTTATTGAACAACTAAAATTAATTTTTCACATTTATTAGATCGCAGCAGTGTGATATCCTAGCTATTGTTTCTAGCACTTAAAACT